CTTCGGGCTGATCCGTGTCGATCAAAATAAACAATTCTATTGGCTTTAGGTCACGTGATGGACACGGCTTTAGACGATCCCCTGTAATAGGCTTTTGTGTTTAACATGAATAAGTTTCGGATTTTCTATTACTTTACATAGTAGTCCGGTGACATTCACTTGTCAAAGAATCAGATGGAAAGGGTCGATTAACCGGTCTGTACAATGAAAATTTTTCATGCTAGAAGCAACTCAAAATTTGGAAATTCATAAATTCATCTTTTTCATAAGATTTGGGACGATCAAAATAGCGATCATCAATCGAATTCTGGAACTCACAAAAAAGAGGTATGACAAATACCTATAGTTTTAACGAACACCAATAGTTAATAACTTAATTTCGTAGCCTGCCAACTATACTGTTTCTCTAACTTTGCGATAATCATAATATAGCAGTATTAAAGATTGTATGGTGGGTGATCGTAGCGGTAGTAAAATTTTATTATCTTCTATTTTAGTAATGATTAATGAATTCCTTTTTTGCCATTTCGATTCGAGTGAATAGCTATTTTTTGACCATTCGTAGGAATTCCTCTTAGAATATTAAGTTACTCAGTGCAACTCGTGCTACGTACAAGTAAAAAGTTCTTTTTAAACCTATCGCAAATCAGTTGAATCGCCTACCCATAAACCCATAAAGCATTATTGCAACACTGTTAATTGATTAATAATAACTTATTCATGAATTAAAAACATTGACAAAGATAATCCGTTATTACGTATATTTTGACTGTCATCGAAATGTATAGGCTGATTGTCAAACTAATAATTTGAAACGGACTTAATTATTTTTATGATACGCATATCAAAGTAAACAGAATGCATTAAAAATATTTCGATACTTTTGTTTCACCTTGATAAAAAATTTTACAGGTGCTTTACATAAACTTTTTGTTTTTTTTGCTTTGGATTCGTTAATCCTTCTACAATTTATCACGTGGATATAATTAATTTCAAAAATCGGTCGATACTAAGAATTATTGAGTCTTACTAGTCTTACTGGATGCTCCTTGATGTTACAATTATACGCTAATTTGTACTTGATCTTATAAATTAATTACCATATTTGCTTATATGCAATAATATTCGATACTCTTGAAAAAAAAACTTCCTTATTCATAGTATAAAACACACATCACACAATCAAACCTTGCACTGCAAGACCTTATTTGAGTCTGAAATAACATTCTTTAAAAACATTTCTCTCTTTCCAATTTAATGCCTGCAAACCAAACTTTTATTTTGTAATCGCAAATTTTTTAAAATGAGTCAAGGCGGCAGACGTAAAAAGGCTGGATCTTCTTACCCTTGGTCTCAAAGAAAATTATGTCTTCTTAATCCATTTCCACGATATGGACACACCGCATCAAAAATGGCGTCTGCCAATGACTTGCTTATTTTTGGCGGTATTAATATGGGAAAATCTAAAAACGATGTTTTTACTGTTGAAATTGGTATGTACTTTCAATTTTATACTAATCGAATTCAAGAATATTGATCAAATTCCCTTTTTATTGATATTTATATATTTGAAAATTTAGATACACTAAATGTTCTTAATATTTCAACTATGGGCGACATTCCTTTATCTCGAACTTTGCACACGCACGCGGATATTGGATCAAAAATGTTTGGTATGATATCTCAACCTATGATATTTGATAATTACTAGGTCAAATGACTCAATTCTAAACTTCCAATCTTTTTAGTTTTTGGTGGATTGGTTCAGGATCCTCAATTTTCAGAGCCAAGAATTGATGATAATCTTTACGTGCTTGATATTGGTAAAAAAAAAAAAAAAAAAACTCTTGTTAGAATTATTCAATTTGGTATGCATTATTCTTATTTATTGATTTATTTTTGTTCTTCAATTTCTTTACCATAGTAACAAAAAGATGGAGTAGAATTACTGTGAACGGTACATCACCAATTGGTCGATATGGACATTCTGTGGCTGTTATCGGATCAAAAATGTATATATTTGGTGGTCGATTCGAAGGATATTATTTAAATGATTTGTTGGCATTTGATGTGAACACGTGTGAGTTCCATAAATGTTTTTATTGTTTTATACTTGAACGTAATTATATATACTCATATACGTATACAGATGTTGCAAACGGTGCTGGTTGGGAATTTATTACTCCAGCAAGCCAATCTCCTCCGGGAAGAATGGCTCATATATCATGCGTGTATAATGATAAGATTTATATGTAAGTGTTGTTTAAAATTCATTGTTTTTTTTTTTGTTTTTTTTTTAACTTTTTAACACTTCCTTCAATAGGTTTGGTGGAAATGATGCGCATAGATGTTTTAATGATATGTGGTGTTTTGATCCACGTACTAATACATGGACAGAATTGTCCTGCATTGGTTTCATTCCATCGGCTCGGAAGTTTCATGGTGCTGCCATTGTGGATGATGTCATATATGTATTTGGCGGTATGACGCAAGACGGAAAAGAATTAGGAGATTTGACTGCATTTAGGATAAGTAGTAAGTAAGAATATAATTTAATGATAATAATTATTTTGACTTTGTGGACATATATTAAGAGTATAATTTAATAATAATTATTATTTTGATTTTGTAAATAATCTTGCATAATATTTAGATCAAAGATGGTATATGTTTCAAAAAATGGGTCCTTCGCCAAATCCGAGATATCATCTCACAATGACCACTGCGAAAGAAAAAATCATAGTTTTCGGTGGCGAATCCACGCAAGGAGCAAGGCCTGATGAAGATGGCATAATTCACATATTGGATACATGTAATTATTTATATCAATTCTTTTTTTTTTTTTTATTTAAAAATAATAAATAAATAATAAATTTATTTTACTAATTTTCTACTATCAACTCTATAAACAGCTAAAATAAAATATCCTCCGGTCACACAGAACGCCAATCCACAACAAGTACAACAGGGACATCCTCCACAACAACAACAACAGGGACATCCTCCACAACAACAACAACAGGGACATCCTCCACAACAACAGGGATATCTTCCACAACAACAACAACAACTTCCACAACAACAACAACAAGGATATCCTCAACAGCAACATCCGAGAAATCAGCAGGAATTTCAACAGTATACAGGCTTTCCATTACCTCCAATGACGGAACATAGTCGATCAACCCCTTCACCAACAACAATTCCAATGTCAGGTAAACAAGATCAAATATTAGAAACTGGCTTTAATGGCAATTAATTTTATGTTGCATAAAAATTTAAATTTGGTTTATGCCTTAAATTTCTTTAAAAAGCGAGTCCTCGTGGTCCTAGTACTTCTCCGAATCGTACTGGAAATTCTTCTCCACGTGTAGGCGGTCCTAACACACAAGTCAATAATGATATGAATGGCAGAGTATCTACTCCAGAACAAGTAATGCATATGGATCGAATGAACAGGTCTAATTCTCCTCAGTCACGTAACATGGATAACCATCGAAAACAATCTCCATCACCTGCTGGTGGTGGTGTTCGACAAATTCAACATAAACAGAGTATGGAAAGGTTGCCGATGAGTTCATCTCCTACTGGTCCTTCACAACTATCTTCACAATACGCCGAAAATCTTAATAATTATAATAATGTGCAACTAGATAATAAATCAAATTTACATGTATATCAAAATAATGGATATCGCCATGGTGATTTTACTAATCCTCGTCCTGCTCCTCAACCTGTTTCACCTTCACCAATTTCACATAATCATAGTCCTAACCTCAAAGGATCTTCTTCAGCGTTTAGTAGCACGAGTACATTACCACATAGTCAGGTACCTCATGATGGTAGTTCTATGTCATCACCAACATCTTCGAATTCAGATACTCGCTCTCCAACATCTGATGCTGTTGATCATTCTTTAGAACGTATAATGAACTCTGAAAATGGCGATTTTATAAATGAACTACAAGAGCGAGATATGAGTATTGCTGCATTTAAGAAACGTGAGATGTGGCTCAGAGCTGAATTAGCATTAGCGAGAAAAGCAGGATATACACCGGAAGTAGATGCTGATGTCGGTGTTCCTGATGGCATTGATATCGATAATTTGATGGATATTTCTGAATCTGGTTCTGAAAAATATAAAATAATAGAAGCAATTACAAAAATTAAGCAAGAATTAAGAAAAGCAAAGGTTTTATTTATTTATTTTTTTTTTTAAAAAAATTTTATGTTGATAACAAATTAGAAAAATTTTAAATTATTTGCACATTTTAATATATATATATTTTTTAATATTTATATAGGCAACTATTGCAAATCAAGCTCAAATTGCTTCACAAAAAATTACAGATTCTGAAAGAGTTCGTACTGCTGCTCTACAAGAAGCTGCTTATTTCAAAGCAAAACTTTCAGCATTAACAAATTCATCAGAACATGATCTTAAGATTCTTGAAGTTGAAAGAGCAACAGAGTTGGAGAAGCGTTTGACACGAGCTCTAACTGAAAAAGAGGCAGTTCAAAATCAACTTATTCAATTGCAGCAAAATTCAAATTATGATAAAAATTCTCGAGAGGCTGCTGAAGAACGTGCAAGAATGGCTACTTCACGTGCTGAAGAAGCTGAAGAAGCACATGCAAGAGCCTTGGCAGAATTAGCAACTCTTCATTCACGTGCCACCAACGCTGAATCACAACATCGTGAGACAAAAAGTCAATTATCAGAGTTAACTTTGGAATTGAATCGTATTCGTGGAAATTCACATAATCAAATACAATCTTTACAACAATCCGTTGAACAACATCAACGAGCTCTTGAAAAAGCGAATGTAGCTATTGCTGCTGCGAATGAACGTGCAAGTGAAGCTGAAAGTTTGTGGAGGCAGGCACGTCAAGATATATCGAATCTCGAGAAAGAAGCTGCCGGATTACGATCTGAGTTGGACATTAAAATGAGAGATTTAGATCGTGCTGGTGCTAGGGCAGCAGAGATGGAACGATTATTAGATAAAACTCGACAAGAACGGGATGCTGTTCGAGATATGATGAAAGATGGAATGACAAAATTATTGAACAATTCTCGTCCTAATGAAGATTTATCTGTTCCAACTCGAGTTTCAAGTCAAGTAATTCATCTTGAACAAGAAATAGAAACATTAAAAAATATGAACGCTGAAACAAAAGAATCAGCCGAAAAAGCTTCAAACTCACTTGCAAATGCTATGGATAAGATCGTACAATTGGAATCTGCACTTACTAAAGCACGTTCTGAAACTGCAATGCTACAGCGGAGGTTAGCAGAGTCTTCAGACGAAGTAATACGTACAAAAGGAAGATTACGTGAAAAAGAACGTACTTTAGATGAAAAAACGTGTGCTCTTGAAGATGCTGAAATCAAAGTTGGAATGATGAGAGATGTAATGGTTGAAAGAGGTATACTGGAAGATGTTACAAGTCAAGGAACATTAGCTTCACAATATAAAGAACTAATATCAAAATGTGAAGAATTAGAACAAAGAGCACAACATGAAGAAGATAAAAGGAAACTTTTAGAAGAAGAGTTTAAACGTATTAATGGCAGAGGTCTCAACCAAGATTCATCACCTAAGAATGAAAATGATTTAAGAGAAACTGAAAAAAAATTGTCTGAAACTCAACAAAAACTTCAAGAAGCCCAAGATAAGTTGACAAAAGCAGAATTAAATTATAATACTGCAACGCATTATGTACAAGGGACGGAAAAGATGTTAAGGCGACTAAAAGAAGAATTGCATAGAAGTAAAATCGATTCAGAGAATTTACAAAAGCAACTGAAGGTCGCACAGGAACGAAATGAAGAGTTGGAAGAAAAACTTTCAGAGGTCCAAAACCAAGTGTCTGTACGCAAAGGTGTTCGTGAATCAAAACTTCAGGAATTTACCAATAAACAGCTTGAAGTTCAGGCAGAAGAATTTGGTCAAGAAATGACTGAAGTGCAACAAAAAATGAAAGATTTGATTGTACAAATTGATCATGCACGAGAAGAGAAGAAAATGTTGGACATTTCATATGAAGCTTTACGCAAAGAATACAAGACAATGCAGAAGGATCACAACGCCTTAAGGCAAACAAATCAGGCGCTTAAAGAACAACTTCTACTTTCTACAAATAAAGTAGAACAACTTAAAAAAGAGTTAGATAACTCGATGGCATTGAATGAACACTTAAATCAGCAACTTGGCGATGACTCGGGTAGAGTGGGTGATAATCTTTCATCTAATGGTATGCTTAGACATCATGAGAGATGGGATGAACAACGTGGTGCACTCGAAAGGCAAATTGCACAACTTCATGAAACAAACAAAAAACTTGAAAGAGAAAATATAGACTTTGAACAAAAATTACATGAATCAGAGAATAAAATATCATTATTACTTGATCAAATGGAACATGCAGTGGACAATTATCGTGTAATTGAGGATGGTATAAAATCGAGTCCAAGAGACTCAAACATAATTAATTCTATGACAAATAAACTTGATGATGAACTCGATGCTTTAAATCGGTGGGGAAATATGAATTATGATGATGAATATTCTGATGTTGATTATATTAATCAAAAATGGAACAAATTTCCAAATGGAATGGACAATGAAAGTAGAGATCAATATGAAGATATGATTGCAGCATTAGAAGAAGTACAAAAAGTAGCGGCAGCTAATCGAAAATAATTTAATAATATATACTTATTTATTTATTATCCTTTTATTATTTATATATGTACTAAGATGAATTTATAATGTAGAATTTTTGATGTGTATTTGAAGTTTAATATTTACTTATATTTGTATGTCAATTATTTGTTGTGTGTAGTTTATTATACAAGAACAATTACCTTTTTACAAACAATTTTTTTTAGATTATATATAATCTTTAAAGATATAATAATAAAAGTAACAATAAAAACAAGTGTAAACTTTGGAAAGTTTGCACAAAAGTTTAATTTCTTATATTTTTATCGTAAAATTAAAAATAAAAACTATTTTAAATAAATTTATAGATTTTTTTTTTAATTGTTAGCATTTTATTAGAATTTATTAGTTTTTATAGTATATGATTATAATCAAAAACTTAACTCTATATAATATCTTTATAAAGCTAAATATTTCGATACGTATTTATTTTTTTTAAAAAAATACTGTAAATTAGTGTTAGGGTTAATGTTAAGGCAAGAGTAGAGCTTTAGAAAAAATATACTAAAATTTCGCAAGGAATTTTTTTTGTTAGAACGAAGAAGTTAGTTTCATAAGCGAAATTTCAAGATAAAATTTTAAAGTTACACAGATCATTCGTGTAAATTCGACGTGATGAACACTGATTGGATAAAAAGCGTGATTTCCAAATCGGGCTAAATCAACATATAAAATTAAAATTTTTTTTTTTATTTTAATCTTCAAAGGTGATATAAAATTAAAATTTTAGTTAAATGAAAAAAAACTTTTTATAGAAATATACAACAAATTGAGTAGAACAAAACTATAAAGTTTGTTTTTGAATATAACAAAATTTGATAATGTTATTTCCTTTTAAAGTTCCTAATAAAATAAAAATTTGGCCACATATATAAAAACATAATAAAATTTTAAAAAATATAATACAAATTTAAAAAACATAATAAAAATTCGAAAAATTAGCCAATCAAATTTCAGTATTTTGGCTCAAATTTGGCCACTTTTAAAAAAAAAAGGTGTTGGTTTAAGGGTTCCTGCACTTGAAAAAAATAAACCGGTTCTATTCAATTTTAAAAAGAGTTCTTGAATAACGATAAGATCCCGGATACTGTATGCATTGCTATACAGTAGTAGTAATATACTGAGCCGTGAGATATTAGCAGAAGCTTCGTTGCCGCCTGTACACAAAATATTAATGATTAATTACTCAGCTCTTTTTTATTTAACAAAGGATCAGATATTAAATTTACATTATTTTAAATAGGTGCTGTTCATGATAATTATGAAGTATATGTGTTCTATGTACCTTACCCCAAAAAGTTTTTAATTTTTATTTAAAGCAGATTATTATTATTGTTGTTGTTGTACTTATCTCTTTGATATTATTACCATTATCATTTTTATTGATATTTTTATTATAAGAGTAAATATTTAAGTCTCAACTAACAAAATAAATCAAAATAATATAGATATATTAACAAGCCGATATAGTACGGTTAGGTTAATTTTGATTCGGTCTTGGTCTAATCTTTTTTTGATTCAATTACAATTTAATCCAAGGCTATTCAAGGAACCAATTATCAAGATTTTCGGTCCAAGTTTATAATAAAAAACTGCTTTTAGACCGATCTTTTATTGTAACCCAAACAGAACTCATAATAAAAAACCAATATTTTATTATATAAAGGATTGGTTTTAGACTGGTCTTTATTATAATTCGAACCAAAAACTCTAGTTTTAAATAAAGATGGGCAAGGAAATAATACTGGGTAGAAAAAGTCTCTAAACAGTAACTTTTTTTTACTATCGTGCTAAGATTTATTTGCACTTAAATACAATGTATACATAGTATTACAATGATTACTGATTATAAACGTATCCCGTTTAAAGACTTTTACCCATATGGTGTAATTGGTAAAGGAGAGCTTTGTGTCATACATAGTGCTTATCGAAGAAACTATAGCTCTAAAAAATTTATATCGTGAGGATAATAATATTTCGCTGAATGGCTTTATTAAAGAAGGATTGCACATTTTATAATACCATATTATTTATTTGCATATTTAATAACTTAATTACATCAAATAATATAATATTAAAAACCTTACTAATATTACGCATCATAATAACATAGTACGATTTTTAGAATTACCAAAGGTATACTAGTTTTATATAAGAACGAATATCACCAATAATTAAAAATAAGTTAGAACCAAGAATAAAAGCATACTACATGGTTCTTCAAATTCGCTAATAATGGTAACCTTCGCTCTTATTTACATAATCATTTTTGACAACTAAAGTTTTAATAAAAACAATTTGCTTGGTTTCTATTGACACCCCCCATATATTGCTTGCATGTTAATTTAATAATAAACTTAATACTTACTGTATATCTTGTGTACTACTTAATAAAGTTAAATCATTGAACAAGCAGTAATAATCTTTACTTTAGTAGCAGATCAATACAGTATATACGAGTGGTATTATTTCATTAATTATATAAACTTAAAGTTATGGCACATCTTTAGTAGAGGTTGTGACAACTGAAGCTAGAATAGATTACGTTTTGAACATAAAATTAAATATAAAGCTTCGTTAAGAATAATAAAGATTTATTCACAAAATTGAGTTACAATAACACCTAATTGTATTCTCATGACCAATATAACACTTCCAGTTTGCCAGAAAATCGATCATCAAGTGTTATAGAAAGAAATTAGAGTACTCTATAAGCTTATGTTTACAAATACGGACCTCCGATAGAATTTTCTTTTTTTATTTCCATATTTACTTAGAGGCCAAAAGTAGGTTATCATAGTAAAATTTTGTGTTACGTTGCTACAGTTTATTATATAAAATGATTATTTTATTAGTTCCGATTTATATTAGTTCCGATTTATATAGAGGGATCCAAACTTAATTAACGTTAACGATTAATATGCCAAATAAATGCACTAGCTAGTTTATACGTATAAAATAAATTCTACCCTGAAACTATAATTTTAAATTTTATTACAATAATACATATCGCTAATCCATAAAATATTGCTGCATTATTGTAGATCTGAACCCGTGAAACTCTCATGCCTGGAAACTTAGAAGAAACTGAGACGCCATCCAATAAGATGAAATTCTTCGAGTTTCAAGATAATTCTTGATTCTTTAGAACTTGTATACAATATTTTCTTATTTAAACATATCAGAAATGAGAAGCTAACTGCAAAACTTGAAAAAGCATAATACTTACCAATCAATTATGTTTTCCAACAAAAGGCCTAGTTTTTAGTAATATGTTTAATAATTGATAAGTTGATCCCAACAGGTTCGATCAGAGAATGTGAACCAAGCAAATGAAGACGAATTACGTTTTATAATCATTATTTTTATGAATACGGATTTTGATCCTTGATTATTCATACGACTTTCGGATCGTATTGATATCATTATATCAATTTCAAAAATAAAAATGCTGCTGTAATCCTTAAAGGAAATTAATCATGCATATTTTTATTAATCATTCTCTCAAAGTGTTATATAAAGTGATGCCAAGGATTCATTGATATTACGAAAAATCAATATTGACTCAAAAAAATAAGAAAGTAAAATTTTCCAAGGTTTAACCAAAGAAACTATATCAAAAAAAATACAAACCCGAAAAATTATTGAATTTGTAGAAAATAATCGGTGTCTAAGCTACACTACTTATCATTCTTAACACTTCATTAATCATTTTTCTTAAAAGAAAATGAATTCCATATTTTAATGAATTTGTCTAGTCTTTATTATAGTTTAATCGCAAACTTTTCCAATAAACAATGAATGATGAACTAGGTCATAATGATATTTATCAGAGTTTGACACCAATGGAGTCACAAGAAATTTCTCTACAAATTGATTCTGGATCCACTGTCGAAAATGAAGGAATAAGTCTTACATCTGAAAATTGGATAACACATAGAGAAGAAACCGTAATGCGAATTGATCAATTTATTCAACGAGACTGTATCATTCTAATTCGTGCACCACCATTCACCGGAAAAACCTCTTTATGCATATTACTCGAAGAGTACTATCGAAAAAAAGATACTCCCGTACTACAAATATGTTTCTTGGGCGTTGAAGATATGAATTTTGAAGAATTTTGGATAAACGAAACGGGGAAAAGTTGGAAATTTTGGTTAAATCCTAAACACGGTGAAAGAGTTATTATCCTCGACGAGACTCACCATATCTTTGACGGATCACGATACGAATCTTTTTGGATAAGAATAAAATCATTATGTCGACAAGCTTCACTTGGACAAGAAACCATTAAGATCATTGCTTTCTCGACAGGTGGTCGACTAGCTACTTCTGCACAAAGTCCTATGGATTTTCGACAAAAATTTGGTTTTGAATTAGTAAGATGTACTCAGACTGAGCTAATGGAATTGGTTAAAACGTTTAACAATTACAACATTAAAAAGAAAATTAATGTTAGTGGAAGGGTCGCGCAGCAAATAATGGAATTTACTGCTGGGCACTTTGGTCTTGTCCGTTGGATACTAAATGGCATCGACAATTATTTTTCTTATCGAGGCACAAACTACAAGGTCACAACTGACGCTGAAATAATGTCTTATTTTACTTCTTCTGATTTTATAGAGCATGTTAAAGCTCATAGAGGTGCCCCTCTTTATAAATTTAATGCAGCTGAAGGTAATATTATGTATGGCAGCCTATGCTGAAGTTAACTAATTTTGAAATTTAAATCTATAATGCATATTAAAATCTACATATGGGAAAAATGAGTCAGTTGAGTTTTCAATTTTATATAAAACTTATAATAATTTTATTTCCACTAAATTTAAATTGGCAAATATAAAATTATTATAAAATTTTTACATAAAATTGAAACGTCCCACTGCCGTTTTTTACTGTGGGAAACCCATACATATTCTTTTATTAACAACTCTAACCCTAATACTAACTTTTACCTTGAAAAAAAAAACTATTTTAAAAATTTCATAATGTAATAGGTCAAAATTTCAGCAT